TGTCTAATAATGTGTTGTTAATTTTAATTAATAAAACATACATCAGGTTTTTAAAAGGCACTTGTAAAAGTGTTTTGATGCCTTAGTGGGTATAAACTGAGCATAGTATCTTTCAGTGCCTGCCTGATGTCCAGAAAGCATCTCATAAGCATTTTTTATCTTTAATGTCTTTATGATCATGGTGGAGGGAGGAAGTCAGATTTAGTTAATCTTTTTAACTGTGGTAGCCATCAGATGGATTTGGAGCAACTGTAGCTGAAAGGATGAGACAGAAAGAACATATCTTTGTTAGTGTTGCATGTTGTAGGGAAACATGAATATCCACGACAGTGACTTTTAAAGAAAACATTTATTTCTCCTTACCCAAAGGAAGAAGATATTACTTATACCATTTGTACATGGTTGCACGGTTTGACCATTGCCAACAACATGCAGAATATGAAGAGAAAACATAATTTTATTTTAATTGTCTTGGGGAGAAATGTGAAATCTACGCTGGCAGAATTCAAAGGCCACCAGATCATTGTGTCCTTTAGCAGGGTTTGTTACTCAGTGTACTTGGGAAAAGCAAGTTGAATTCTTTTATACTTATCACGTCCAATGATCAGAGACTCATTTTTTGATCCTAGATAATTAGAATTGTTTGTTTGTGAAAAAAAATGTTATTTAAGTTGTGGCATCCTTTAGCAGAAAGATACTGCATTATATTTGCTGATCTGAAAATCTCTCATTTAAAGAGATTAAAGAGCCACTGTTTGAAAGGCATACTTGTCCGATTTGTTCTGTGCATCCTGTGCTTATCCAGAAGGGATTATCTATAACCACTGACACAGGGTAATACTGCACAGTGAGAGAAGCTATATTGACACCAGAGATTTTCCCAAATCTCTGGAGAGATCTGAGCAGAAATTACCATTTTTTAAACGTTGGTTTTTTTAACCAATCATAATGCTTAGAGATAATGTGGGGTTTTTTTCTTCTGCAGAATTTACAATTAGATACGAGACAAATATGGAGAAAAAAACAACAGAAAGAGATGGAAGTGAAGCAAGTAAAAGGTTTTGCCAATAACGGCACAGGCTCCCTGTTGTTTATTTTCTTTTTAGTTTTAAAACTAGGAGAAAACAAAAGGGACACAGCAGTTAAAATTGCTGATAAAAGAGAAGGCTGGACTGTGACTTGACTCATCATAAATGTCTTGAAGAAAAGAGAAATAAGTGTGCAGTTTGTAGGGTGGAGGGAATAAACAGTGTTGTTTCATTTTGTCTGCACATCGTTCTTTATTAATGTAACTGTTGTCTTCAGTTGTAACAGTATCTTTGGGATTATTCTCTGCTTAAAATGGTAACTGCTGTAAGGTGTTGTAAACTGTTTTGGGTCAAACTACATTTATAATGTAGAGGTGGCTGGGTAAGTTTTAAATAACTTTTTTCAGTTATTGTGAGTGATCTGGGCAAGACTCTGGAATTTGTCGAAGGTCACTAAATGATGTTACTGTGGTTCTGGAATATATGCAAATTCATTTAAAGCCAATTCGGGAATTTTTCTCAGAGCATATCCTTTGGGAATGGAAGGAGGAGCTTGAGTCTTTTAGACCCAGCATTGCCTCTTTTCCAGGCTGAGCTGAATACTAATCACTGAGCAATACAACAATTATTCTTCTGATCTGCCTTGCCCTGAAGAGTTTTGGGATGAACAAGGGAGTTGTAAAAGTACCTGTCTAGACTACACTGAGACAACATTTCTTATAGACTTTATTTGTATGCATAAGTGTTGACTATAGCATTCAACTTAATTCAGGTGAAGTGTAAATTTAAAAGCAAAATCTAGCAGAATAGGAAAGTGAATATCCATTTAGATATTTGTGAGTCTTCTGTTCTAGTTCACAGTTCTGTCTATGTAGTTATATGATCAATCTTATCTAACCAAATGCAGTTGTCATTCAGCTACATAAAATAACTGTAATATCGTGTTGAAAGTAACCAGAAGGTTGCAGAACAGCATGATATCAATAAATCTTGAGGGATGATATCAATAAGTCTTGCAGGGATGAATACATAACTTGAAAAGGTTCATTGTATCATTACTAGTCACGTAAGTATCAGTAGCAGCATCAGCTCTTCGAATTTGTGTGAAATCCTGACCTTACTGGTATTCTTCCACTGTATCTCAGAGAAACTTTTTTGTTCAGAGCAAATAAAAATACTGTGGGAGGATAGGAAAAGATATGGAGTTGTATCTAAATGTATCTAAAAGATCCGATTTCTGCTGATCAGCTCTTGTTTTGCAGTTTCTTCTTACGTAACTGAAATTTTTAGGTGCAAGAACAACTCCATTATACTTAAGCAGAAGTCCTGCACTACTTTTTAGCAGATGCTCCATATTTTGTATGCAACTTCTGAAGCATTGTTTTGGGATATAACATATACTGTTATAATTGGTTTCAACTGACGAGAAAAAGATGTTACAGTGACTCTTTCTTTAGGAAATTATAGCATCTTGTCTTTATAGTTATGTGTTACTGTTAAAAAAAAATTTTTACATATGGACGCCTCATTAGTTCACCAGAGATGCTTTTTCATGTACATTTGTTTTATTTTTGTTTATAGCTCTAAGAATAGTCACAGAGGTCATCAGCATGAGGAGTATGTGAACCTGAAACTTCACATGGAGCAAAAATTCAAGAACTGGAAGGAGAGGTTGATGTCAGAAATGGGTATAAGAATGTTGGAGAAACAATGTTGTATTGCTGCATTGCCATCTAGAAATCCTTTTTTCACTTTTATATTTTTTAATTAGCGAGTTCTGGTTTAACATTGCTATAGCTGTAAAAGCTTTTTTTCCTATTTTTTTCTAAAAATTGATTATATTTATAATTACAGATTATGCTCTGCTTATGTAGCAGCGCTGCATTGCTTGTCGGACAGCTGCCCCTTGTAAGGAACTGCTAAGAATGTGTTTAGTAATCTGAGATTGTGTAAGATTATTTTATGTAGACAGCCCACTGCTAAATTCGTTAACCTTGAAATTGCAGGAAAGGTCAGCATCTAGAAAGCAGAGGTAGACTTAGACAAGATGGGTAAATATACATTTTTTATCATACTCCTAATTACAAGAGTTTTTTTTCCCTTCTGCCTCTTATATTCCTGTCATTTCACCATAAAAGGATCATCTGACTAACAGTGAAATTTTCAACTGTGATACTCTAGGGCAGAATTATACAACCTCTCTATATATTACAAACTTTAAAGACCAACAAAACCTCCCTTCTTAGTTTTTTTATAAAAATGTGTTTGATACTGAAATCACTTTTACATATTTACATATGAATGTGTTTAATTGTTAAAACTAGAATAGTTAATTTTTGACCTGTCAACGAAACCAATATATAATATAAATGAAATGGTATTGTTGGACAGTTGTGTCTTGCAGGCAGCGCCTGCTGATCCACATCTCGCTGCCCTCAGTCCTGCTAAAATAACACAACTTCATCCAGGGCTCTCTTGCCCGTTGGTTCCCCAAAGGCAATTTATGAACGTACCCAAAGAAGTATGGGCACTGCTCACCTGAGCAATACTTGAGAGCTGGCTTGGTTTGGAAGTTATTTTTGTGCATTGTGCGGTTGAACTGTAACGATAAAGCTAATTAGCTGCTGTCTGCAAGCACAAGGGTACAGCATCTCATACACACAATTTTTCTTACTCCACTGGAGGAGGACAAAAATTATCTCCATTGTTTATGCCTTACAACTAAAGAAGCATACTCTTACAAAACATAGGTGGTGTGAAGCATGAGTGTCACGATTCCTCAGTGGTGTCTTTACTGGTGTTTCCATGTGTCAGAATAACTTGCAGTATTACTTTGGAGGAATGACCATTATGTAGTATTGTTCTTAGTTGGGATTGAAATGTAAAGTCCTTTAACAGCAGATTTTTGTTTTCCAAAGAATGGCAAACCACATGACTGTTCTGATTCTTTTGATTTAAATTGAAATTCAGGGAACAGGGTGGGGAGGGAGGGAAAAAGTTTTTCCCATAGCTTCCTGTCTCCCAGCATTCCCCTTGTCACTTTGTCTCTAGAGTAGAAAACATGGTAGTATTTTTCTAACAACTTTTCAGTAATGCTTTAGTTTTCTAGCTCTTTAGTAGTTCTGCAAGTATACAATTTAAAAGCCTCTTGAATGCAGCTAAAATTTTCCTTTCTAATTCTAGTGAATTGTTTTGCTTACCTTAAACAAAAAACTTAGACTAGTGAATACAAGTCTCTACAGTGTACCTTTAAATTTTTTTTGTTGGATTTGTTAGTGACCACTTTTTGCACTGTTTCTATTGTCATCCTGCAAAAACAGAGGGAAACACTTAAATGTTTATCAGCACTAGTTCCATATTTATATGCATGTGTGCATAAGAAGATGGATATTCTAGCTGCTTGTAGTAGATTGTACATAATAAACAATATCCCTTTATTCATGTGCTTATAATCTAAATTTAACTTCTGTTAAGATTTTTTATCTTATATTTAAAATTTTTCTTTGAACTGTGGCAAAAAAAAAAGCTGAAATAATTTCATTTGGTTTCTTTTTGTATAGCTCAAGACTGTTCTGCCCCATTTGCTGAATGAAGTGTCCAGTTTAAAAGAAGTGGAAAATACCCACAACTTTTAGCACTGGAGAAAGATAGCACTTTTCTGCACCTCTGAAAGTTGAAATGAAGTTCAGTTATTTCTGTAATGCCTAGTCTTTGACATATTACAGATACTCAGATGGCTGTAAAGGAATTGAACTTTAATGTCTATAAAGTGGTGGGTTTTTTTGTAAAATGAACTTCTTTTTTTTCCTCTCTCCGTGATCTTATTTTGCAAAAGGATACTGTTTGGCTGATGTGTTTCTTTAAATTCCCCTGTGCTGTACCTACCACATTAGGGTATGTACAAAAAACACCACAAAACATCCTTAGTTATTTATTCTGCTGAAATCAACAGCTTTGCTCTTTGTATCATAGGTATAAGCAACTACCTCTGACAGCTGATCAAGAATGGATTCTAGAACAGAGTAAAATGCAAACAGAACTAAACTGGCAACAGCTCTGTGAGAATGCTGAACATAATCGGTATCAGAAATCAGAGGATCTAACACAAAGCCTGTCTTCGTCAAGAGAGGAGGTGAGAGTTTCAAATTAACGCTGTTTAAGAATCATCTGTTGCAGAGAGACCTATGGAGTTTTTTCTACCATGGCGTTTCTTGGGAAAGTATGATTTTGGTATTCTTTCAAAAATATGTAAAATAGTAATTCTGTATTGAGCACAGCAGTTCACCACATATATCTGATCAGAGACTAGATTAATTTTCATGAACAATCTGTAACAGTGGCCTTTTCTCCCTTTTCATGAAATCAAGTCATCTTGAGAGATGTCACTGCTTTTGTCTTGCCATTTTAGCAAAAGAAGAAAGATCTCTCTTAGAGCAACCACAGGCCAAAAAGAATTTCACGTCGCAGTACCACTTGAATTCTATCGAGGGAACAGTATTAGACCTGAGAAACTCTGAGTATTTTTGTATGGGGGAAAAAATCTATTTTGTGTAGTGTACGAGCTTCTGTTTCTGAAAAATTAAATACATTTTTATTGTTTAGAGACTATTACACAATGGGCTATTAGCTCTTCAAGCCAGATTGCCTAGTAAACTCATGGGTACAGAGAATACACTTGTTTATGAAGTTTAGAATGCAGGCGTTTACTCTGGTGTTATTTTATCATTGTCTTTCAAAAATGATTCATAGGCATCAATAGCTGCAGCACAGGAACAAGTGAGAGATGAATCAGCATTGTCCATTTCACATAAAGATGAGACAACGAAGCTAAATTATTTGTCTGTGAAGGTGGTTTTTGACAGAGCCAAAAGGGATGGGCTTAAGTCCCTGTGCTATGATTTAAAATATCTTTTGATCTTTTTCTTTTTTTATTTCCTTTTTTCCTTTTCTTCCCCCTTTCCCTTCCTTTCTTTTCCTTTTTCTTTTCTCCATCCCTTTGTCCTTGAGCTACTAGCATTCTCTGCTTTTTGTCTTTTCTCTCTTTCCTGGGTTGAAGCTGATCTACAGAAAACAGACTGCAGGTTGCATAAAGTGAAGACTGTTCTTTCTGCTTTGACTGTTGAGAAAGAACAGACAGTACAAGCATCATTTAATCATTTAATCAGTATTTTACCTGAAGGGGAGAAACAGGTTAGACAACACTTAGCGTTAGACACTACTGCAGACATTCTGAGATGTCAACTTTATGGGCCTTGTTTCCACTGGATTTACTGTAAGCATTTCATCTGTTTCATATATTTTATTCAAAAGATAGACATATCTAGCCTGGAGTACACATAGATTAGATGTCACAGGCTCAATTATGGCTCTCATTTATTAGTCACTGACAAAAGGCACAAGCTGGATGTAGACAGTTGATCCAAAACATGACAATGTAGTTAGTGTACCATCGTGGCACATCAGAATGGGAAGAATTAATTTCTGGAATGTTCCTGAGGCTCTATGTCAGTTGCAGTTCAAGGTAGATTTTAAGTTGTAAGGTTAAAATTTTAAGGCAAAGCTTCGAAATACTAATATGCCAGCTGTATAAAATAATGTCTTACGTTTCAGTATCACTATTTTTCCTTTCATTGCTACCTATTAAAATCCATGTATTTTAAAAATGCATTCAAAATTGCAAGCGTAACGCTGGTTTGAAGCCATGCTGAAGGATAACGCATTATAAGTAGAAAATTGTCTTTTGTAAATAAGTGAAAGTAAAGAGTGTGCTGCAGTGCACTCTACTGGGCAGCTACAGGTGCTCAACAGTGAGCAGTTCAGAGCATGTTACCAGAGCTTAAAGAAAGAAAGAAAAAGAAGAGGTAAGAAAAAGCAGTGTTAAGCAAGCCTAGTAGTTCCTGAATGCAGGAGTGTTGTATTCAGAAAGATACTTTCTGAATTTTTATAAGACAAAAGTAGACTGCTAGCATAAAAAACTTGCTGTGGAGCCAGTTGTTTTTCCAATTTCATTTCAAACTGTACTGATTTGTGAATTGATCATTGAGATACTGAAAGAAGTGAGGTTGGGCAGGGGTTTTTTAGCTGTTCGCATTTGCTGTTGTCTTCAGCTGTTGTTGACAAGACTTTGTTTTCATTGTCACACTTTTCTTTCTGTTGTTAAAATACTCTGGTTTTTGCACTTTTGGCCTGTAGGATAAGCAGTACCCATCTCAGCAAAAACTTTTTTGGTCTCTGATTTATGGGAAGGGCCAGTGTTTAAAAAACTAAATAACAAAAAAAAGTCTACTATTCTGAACTAGAACCTTTTCCTGTATTTTTTCTATACAAAATGAAGTGTAGTAGTCATTCTCAACCTTTAATTAAGCAACAGAGATGTGAAACGCAGCAGTCTGGAAAATCTTGCTTATGACTGATTTTTTTAGTATGACTTAGGTCATATTTGTCTAACTAGACCATGCTGATAATACCATAGGAATGCATAGATAAGGAAAGATTACTTACAGTAATTCTGGATAATTATGTGGTGTTCTCCCTGGACCCTTTTCCACTTAGAAAAATCTGGAACAGTTGTATTTCTGGTTGAAACTGTGATGGTTCATGTTTTTGTTGCAAGTTGAGATAAAGTCCAGGACCCCAAAATTCAGAACACGTCTGGGCAATGTATTGGTACCTCCTGGTGCCTTTCCCCTCCTCACCTTAACAACCTTGGAGAGATTGTAAAAGGAGAATAGACTATCCTCATTTTCTACATACCATGTACTGTTAGGGCAGAAAGAGCCCCAAGAGAAAGAAACTGTAGGGCAGCCATTGCCTTTATGATAGGGAAATTTAATTTGAAGGCTATTAGCATTTCAGGTCACAGCCTTATGACTGGGGAAATAAGGGGACTGAAGGAAGGAGGGAATAATGGAGAAGATGGAAAGGGAGTAGTGTTTGAGGCTGTACAAGGCATAAATGTTGAGACTGAAGTAATTTGCTCACACGTGTTTTACATACAGTGCCTCATCAATTGCCATGCTCTCTGAAGAGGCAGAATTGCTGCTTTGCAATGATTTAAGGTTAGGGTTGAATTCAAAGAAACATTTAAAATTAGCAACATTTAATACAAATGCTCCAAACACATTTCACAGTCTTTTTGTTTTCAAATACATTTGATCTGGGTGGTCTATGAATTAGGATTTCTTTAGTGACTGGAGGAATGTATATTCTGCTGTTGCACAGCTTTCCAATACTCCTGTACCAAATAGTATCTACATTTCTTAGATGGATGATGAGAGAGGATTTTACAGGAGTGGAAACTAAATTATGCATTCTCTGTTATGAGAAAACCACAGTTAAAATACACCAGCGCTCGTCTAATGTAACTTCTTTAAAAATGTTTGCAGACACACTTTGAATGAAGAAACAGCAAAAGTAAATACTGTCAAGACCTTAATATCATGGTCCTTATATCCTAGTGATCCTACTAGATTTTTTTCCCTGAAGATTGTGCTGGAATTTCAAGTGAACAGAAGATTTGTTTTCCAATCAATATCTGTGTGTTTTAGTTTTTGAGTTATTTTTGTTTTCCTTTCTTTTCCATCACCAAAAACTGCAAATTTGGAAATTGAGGAGGCATGTAAGAGGAAGGAAGCATTTTGGTATTTGTCCTTTTTCCTAAACATATGTAGCTGACTTTTGTTTGGAGCTAGCAACCTTTGGTAGAACAGACTAAAGCACTTCTTCTGGCTTGTGATCCAGAGCATCTCACATTTTTGCCCTGATTAAGCCATTGCTTTATGCACATAGGGCTAGATTTCCAAACTAAACTCTCCAAGATAATCTTTAAGACTATGTACAGCCCATGAAGAAAAGGGAGCAATTCTCCATCAAAAATTTTTGAAGTAGAGTGATTCTGTGATGTATTACTCTGTAAGCAAGCTGCTCATATTTTACTTATATAAATAAGGTCTTCTATAGTAAAAGGCAACCTTGGCAATCTGGGGTTTGTCAGCCTCTTCAGTTCTGGAAGTCTATATTGCTTATCCATTCAGACTTCCAAGTATTATTAAGAGAAGACAGGCTTCAAGGCCTTTATGAAGGTAGAGCTTCAGTCGTTGTCTGACAAATGTTCCTTTTACAATGCTTGTTGTTAGCTTATCTAACTAACATGCAATGGAAGAACAATGCTACTTACTTTAAATTGAAATGCTTGGAGGTTTTCTAGATACTGTCCACTGTCCAAGTTATCTGGCTATAGTCCATACACTCCTTCCCCTTTTTCTCTTTAGCAAAGAACATCCAGCCTCTTTATGTTACTGTGAACAGATAATCTCCAATGACACTTTGAAGAATTTGACAAGTCAGAAAGGGGACTGCTGGTGAGCCAGTAAGTTCTTTAAGGAGATGGGTGCATGGAAGAGACAGAGATAGCACCGTTACAGAACAACAGTGACAAGACAGAGCCACCTCTGTGACCATGGTCCTCCCCTGTTATGCCGCCTCCTATGACGTTCTCAGCATAGCACCTTTTTCCCTGGAAAATCCTCAATAACCAGATCTATTTCTTTTCCTCCTATGGTTCTTTTCTCCCATGGTTGGGAGAACCTGTTCATGGGTTGTAAGTTTTAGGATCTGTGTGTGTGCTGTGTAAAGACAATATGGGTTGCTTATCAATGAAGGGTTTTTATTGTGTTGTACTTTTATTTTCCAGGTATTTCAGTATGATGATAAAACTTCTCTGTGCAAAGATATTCCTACCTTGGAAATAAAAAAGCTGCAAAAGCAGAATGCCAACCTTTGTGCTGCTATTGCACAAATGAGGAAAGAAATGGAGAGTCTTGATGAGCAGATGTTGTCCTCTCTTCCTCTGACAGAAAACAGACAACCTGTAGAGCAAGGTAACAACTCTTGCCAAAGACCTTTAAATTCTGTAAGGAAGTGTAGCAGTCATAGTCACAACCTATGAGGGCTATCCAGCCCTTGGGTGTGTAAAACTCGTTGCTGTGGGGTTCTCAAGATTGCACAATACATAAGCACACAATGGTCTGAGATTCTTTATTACAAATTACTACAAAACTATTATTAGTAAAAACAAACGCGCACACACACACTATAAGTCACTACGAAATTACCACTAGAAAAGCAAATGTATATATATATATTACAGGAGTAAAGCAAATACATGTGTATTACAGGTTATGACAGAGTTCCTGCTAGTGAAGCAACAGAATGGTTTGTGTTGGAAGGGACCTTTAAAGATCTCCTAGTCCAAACCTCTCTCCCATGGGGTTTACAGTATATCTACTGAAGTGGTGTACAAAAGGAGGCTCGGGGGAACCTTACCACTCTACAGCTACCTGAAAGAAGGTTGTTGTGGGGTGGGATCTGTCTCTTCTCCCAAGTAATAGGCAACAGGACAAGAGAAATGACCTCAAGTTATGCTAGTGCAGGTTTAGATTGGATATTAGGAAAAAGTTTCTTTTCAGAAAGGGTTATTCAAGCATTGGTGCTAGCTGCTGAGGAAAATGGTTGAGTCACCATCCCTAGAGGTACTTCAAAGACATGTAGATGTGGCACTTGAGAACATGCTTTAGCAGTCAACTTAGCAGTGTTCTATTAATGGTTTGACTTAATGATCTTAAAGGTCTTTTCCAACATAAATGATGCTGTGATTCTAAACATGTATATTCATGAGACAATGTTCTAAAGCAGCTGTTGCTTTTATACTCCTCTTTTAGGTTCAGTGAGCACAAACAAAATTTCAGCTGCAACCACTTTGAGCAACATCAAAGTCAGCTCAGCTAAGCTCGACTGTATAGTAAACCCAGACACAGAAAAGGTATGAAGAGCTTTAAACTACCTGAAATATCTCTATGCGTGTGTGTGTGTAGTTAAATGCAAAGCACATTATTTTTTTTTTGAATGCATACTATAAACTGAAGTAATATATGCTTATATGGCCAGTTAGATGAGAGCCAGCAAAGATTTTTTTCAACCAAACTTTTGCTCATTCTTACTAGGCAATAAATTTTGACGAGTCACTCCCTGGCACAAGTCACTCCTGATCTTTCAAGCTCGTCTTGATTTTTTTTCCCCCCCACTTTCAAATGCTTAAGCTACTGTGTATCACCTCCTAAAGTTTTCCACTGTAAATCCATTCTTGTAAATCTAAATGTGACTCAGTATGAACAGGAGAAAGTACCAAGCCTCACTGCTGTCTTGGAGCACTCACTACCCATGAAGGAAAAACCCACTGGCTCTGGGAGTATGTTTTGCTCAGTTCAAGGGTTTACAAATGTCATTCCCACTGTGTTATTTAAAGAGCAGCAAAAATATCAGCATTAATGTATGACAATGGCATCTCTTGAAAAAAAATAATAATGGAATTGAGAACTGGGACAAATGCCTAATACTATGTAAGGAGTAAGTCACTGTATGTTCTCTCTTCCTGTCTCCCAGCAAATTCATGCAGTAAACAGTCTGAAGTAAGATAGTTTAAAATACAATTCAAAAATAATGGGTTTCTAATTGTCATAAAATCTAACAATATCTGTTTCATGCTTTAATCTTATTGTTAAGACTCACCAGTAACCATGTAAGTTCAAGAAAACTGAAATAAAAGTGTTTTAAGTCAGATCTACCCCTTATGTGTGTATGTACACAATGATTAAACAAAGAAGGGTTTGTGCTAGATTGCTATTTGCTATAAAATGTTTTTTTCCCACATTTTATCTTAAAATTAACTGCTCTTTTGTTTACAGTTATGTGGTGTTTATCCTGTGTGTATTATTTTATACTCACAATTAACAGTATTTGTGGGGATGTCTCAGTCTGTTATAGTGTTTTGCTCCACAGTTTCATTTGCCATATATTGCAAACAAAATCTTGGAAATTGACCCTAATAAATGGGTGGTAGACTTAACTTTACACTTTTTCTTCAACTGGATTCTAATGCATGTTTGTACAAACCTCTCAACCTGCAGACCACACTTTCAAAATATTCATTACAAGCACTATCTGTTTTATTCAGGGACCAGAACCCACAGTTCTTGAAGAAGAGATAGTAGATCTTGGACAAGAGTTGCCTGATGTAGGTCCTGGTGTTGAGCTTCAATATGGTGTCAGACATACTCTGCAGGGAATGCAAAATAAACTGAAGGAAGCAGCAAGAAAAATCTCAGTCCTAAACCAAGAGAGGCGGCAGTTGATTGAAATGGGAAACAGACTCAGGGCAGAACTTGGAATGATGTTAAAAGAAGGTAAATTTATTCTACAGAAGAGTGCTAACATATATTTAGAATAAAATCTGGGAATCCTTTGAGCTGGGGAGAGCTAGGCTTTAATATGAAAGAAAAGTGCTGGACCTGACTGGTCCTTGATCTGCATAGTTTGTGTGAGATGATGGTACTAATTGTTGCAAGTAAGATTATCCTGTGATAGGCGATGCTAATATAGAACAGTGAGAGTCTGTATGTAGTAACTTTTGTTGATTAACATCGTAGATATTTATGTTCCACGTACAGTTTCTCTGGCAATGAAGCAAAGGAAAAAACCATGAGGCCCATCTCTGCATAGCATTGAAACCATCTGCAATGAGAAGGCCTGTGTTCTGTGGTTCATCCCTATCTGCTGTAAACACTTGCTGGGAATGTAATAACTGATGACAAAATAGCAACCAAGAATGCGTTCCTTGGTATTTTCTCTCCTTTATAGGACTTTGGCATCCTGTTGGCTCTAAACGCTCCACAGTTTGTATTGCCTCTGGTAGTCTGCTTCCAAGAGAACTTGTCAAAAGAACAGAGTGTCAGCTATCAGCTCTAAAACATCTACAGCACAGACTCACAACACAGGTAATTATACGCTGTCTGAAATTTAGTGATAATGATCCATTAAGCCAGTTCGAATTTCATCAATGTAACTTTCCTTAAAATTCCACATTTAAAGGACTCTTTCTGACTTTAGCTCAAATCTATCTTTGGAAGATTTCACAAAATCATAGAATACCCAGAACTGGAAGGGACCCATGAGGATCTTTGAATCCTGATGCCAGACAGGACAACCTAGAAGTTAAACCGTGTATCTAAGGGCATTGTCCAAAATTTTTCTTGAACACAGACAGGCTTGGGGCCATGACTACTCTCTGGGGAGGTTGTTCCACTGCTTGACCACCCTCTCAGGGAAGAACTTCTTTCTAATATTCAGTCTGAATTTCCCTCTGATGCAACTTTAAGCCATTCCCCTGCATCCCATCACTGGACACCAAAATGAAGAGATCAGCACCTCCTACACTGCTCCCTATCATGAGTTATAGACAGCAAGGATGTCATTCCTCAGTCTCATCTTTTTTAAGCTGAACAAGCCAAGTATCCTCAGCCAGTCCTCATAAATCTAGCCCTCTGGTCCTTTCACCATCTTTGTTGCTCTTCTTTGGGCACATTCTAGTATTTCTATATCCTTGTCATATTGTGGAGCCCAAAACTGCACACAAGACTTAAGGTGAGGCCACACCAATGCTGAGCATAGTGGGACAGTCACTTTTTTTGTCGTTTAGCTGTGCTGTGCTTAACGCACTGAGGGCACAGTTGGCATTTTTGGCCACCAGGACACACTGTTGACTCACGTTGAGCTTGCCAGCAACCAAACTCCCCAGATAACTTTCTTCAGGGCTGCAGCTGCACTTCAGCCTCTTGTCCCCCAGTGGATACAGACCTCCAACATTACACTGTCCTGGGTACAGAATCCATAATTTTTGCTCTTATTAATTTTCATGCAGTTGGTGATTGCAAAGTGTTCCAGTCTATCAAGATCTCTCTGTAAGGTCTCTCTACCCTCAAGGAAATAAACGAGTCCTCCTAGTTTAGTATCATCAGCAAACTTACTTAGTGTGGACTCAAGTTGTATGTCCAAGTCATTGATAGAAAGAGTGAAGAGAACTAGCCTTAAAATTGAGCCCAGGGGAAAACCACTAGTGACTGGCTGCCAGCCAGATGGGGTTTCCCCAGGTGCTTAAAGAGTTTGGGACTTCAAAAGTAGTATTTTTAAACATGATCTTCAACCAAGGTATTTTAGAAACACTTGCAGCAATAAATGCAATCCTAAATTATGAGTTTTATAAAGCTTAGTTATAAGTAAGTAAGTGAGGAAAGGCCATTTGACATATTTGCAGTATGTCCTAAGATAAATGTTAAAATTATTAATCAGTGAGAATATTTTCAAACATTCACAATGGCAGGATTCTAAAGCACCCATGTCCAAATTATTGTAATTGCACCTTTCCCGTATATGAAAGCAGGATATATAGATAACCTGTCTCTTTTCTTTTGTAACTGATATACAACTTTTAATGGTTAAATTGAAGCTTTCATCAGAGAGACAAATGGATAAATCCTGGCTCTCCTAGTAGTTAGTGGCAAACCTCCCAGTAACTTGGATAGTCAGGATTTCACTATGTACTTTACTTAATTGATCAGCGGATTTGTTCCTGTGAGGATTGAGTCAGAGCAGCTGATTGTCGTTGTAATTTCGAGGGCAGTAAACAATGTTCTTTCAGAAAGGGTGAGGTTGTTGCTCCAAGGTATAATACTCCAGTAGAATTATTAACCAAGTTCAGTTGGGGAAATACTTCCTTTGGGAACAGCTCTGGGCAAGTTGTTCCAGTGTTTGGTCACCCTCCCAATAAAGAACACTGGCATTTGGTTGAGGTTTTTTGCCTTCCTTACACTTCAGCAGAGTGTCCTGTACTTCTTTCTGCCCATTGCCTCGCTCTTCCACTGTATAACACTGGGAGGAGTCTAGGTCAGTCATCTTTATATCCTTCCACCATCCTCATCAGATGCTTATACATGTTGAAAAGATCACTCCTGACCTATCTCTTCTGGTGACCAGCAAGGCCAGCTGCCCCGGCCTCTCTCTGATGTAAAATATTCCAATTTGCTTGTCATCTGTGCAGCTGTTTGCTGTTTGTGGTTGTTGTGGTATGTCTAGGTCTTTCTTGTCCCAGGGAGCCCAAAAGTGGACACAGCACTCTAAATGTGGTTGCACCAGTGCTTGGTAGAGGGAAATAATCACCTCCTGTGACCTGCTGGCAGTGCTTTTCTTGGTGCAGTCAGGATGCTGTTTGCCAAAGGCTTCATGAATGCACTGCTGCCTCATGTTCAGCTTCTAGTCCACCAGGTTTCTTGTTTCTTTTTTGCTGAGCTGCTTTTTAAACAGTCAGCCTCCAGCATATTAGATTGAAGCTGCTATCTCCTCTGCCTTTTGGGTTAAAAATCAGCTGAATTTAGGCTAATGTCCTCTGGAGGATCCTGTTTATTTTTAATTCTCCCTTTATGTATTCTTACTTGTCTTAACTGAAATCAAGAAAAGATTTGAGAACCTTTTTGTGGATTATTAAAGTTCATCCATGAATATGTAGGAAATTGAAATTAAATGTTTATCTTTTTACATATTAAGATCTCTAGTATTATCTCTAGATAATATGAAACTACACAGGAGATATTACTATCATGTTGTCAGGTTACACTAAGAAATCACAAATTTAAGTAACTTTCTTGAAAATTTTACCATCTGAATACATTCTAAAAATGTCTTAAACATTTTTGCACCAGACACATTCTAAAAAGATAAGATGGAATAACTACACATTCATGGTGAGCATGCCATCCTGCCGGGGTTTTAGCCTGAAATCATCACTAATTCTTCCAATGTTACCTGGTTGGCCTAGGTATAATACAAAGTATACGAACCATCTGGTCAGACAGTTTGAATGACAAAGGTGAGTTTCTTGAGAAAGAGCCACTGGAAGTAAATTCTAATTAATATTATATTTTCTTACAGTTAAGAGTGGTGCTAAAGAAAAAAAAAGAAAAAAAACAAAGCATATTAACCTATGTAGTTGCTTGGAATAAGTATTACAAATTACGTAAATGAAGGTTAAGTGACTCAGCTGATCCAGTCTTTTTGGCGATTTAGTTATGCTGAAAACAGCTAAACAAAATAATATTTTTCCTGTGAAGTAAAACAGCACTGCAGATTGTACCCATGAGAGATATTATCTGGACTAATTACAAAAACATCTGGGTTAGTAGATCTAAGAAAATATGGTAAAAGTTTGAAATGCAAAGATCATCCAGCAATTAAATCTGAGAACAAGTACTGACAGGGTCAAGTTCTGTGTTCTGCTATGAGGTCTTTAGGCAGACAGGCAGCTTCTGCACAGGATTGCTCCTACCTTGGATAAAGAATAGTAGTAAAACCAGGTAGTACTTATTTGAAGGGCTCAAACATTTGAGTATGAAAGGAAAAGGATCTCCAAGCATCTAAAGTATGCAGCAGTATTTCAGCCAGAAAAGGCATATTATTTGGGGAAAAAAACAAGTATGTATGTTTCTTGGCAAAGGTGAATTTGTCCGATTGAATCTATGGCAACATTTTGGAATATGTTCTAAGGGAACCTGGCAGGGAAGAACTCTGCATTTGGACATCTTATCCCAGGTATTTGCATTTCTCTTAGCTTCCTCCTAGCAGAAGGTATCCAACAAGAGGGGCTCTCTTGTCCGGTAGAGGAAGGTTGCCTGAAGTTCAAAGGGCTATGCTGTTAATAGTTGATTAGAACCAAATTTGACAAGTTGCTTGAGTGAAAATAGGTCCCTGTTCTTCTTTACTGCCCATTAGTCAATGAAGAAGTTTTAAAGGTTGCAGTGTGAACAAACACTGTAGACCATTGATCTGACAGTGGTAAACTGAGAATGCCATCTGCTGTACCTTTCCAGAGCTAATGGAGACTTGTTCTCCCTCAGATATAGCAGATAGTCTAAGACAACAGAAACTGGGAACTGAAAGAGATCAGCCAGGTAAGTGCAATGTGTGCTGGAGAATCTGGTGTATTTTAGCAAATTTATCTAATCAAGTTTTTTTGAAGTCAAAAGTATTAGTGAGGGCATGAAAAATACAATTTAGGACATAACATAGTGAAAACCATCTGGATTTCGAGCTGGGAAGATTCAAATTACTTGAGCTCTGTGAGAACACATCTGGTAATGCAGCACTGTTTTTCAACTCTTCATTGACAGTCCGAGGGCCTGATCAAGAGCTGTCACAACAGCATTGCCACAAGTATTAGCATCTTGTTGTAGCGCAAGGAGGGTCCTCAGAGAAAAGAACTGAGCATCAAATAAATAGCCTCGCTGACATATCAATGACATCTTATGGGACAGTGGTATGAGCTACTTCTGGAGCAGGAAATCTTTAATTTCTTGTAAAACTCAAAGGTGGAAAGTTCTAATCTGGTCCTCCAGATTTGTCCTGAGCATAGGATTCTGATCTCTGTGACGTTTCAGAAGGGAATAGGTGAGGCAGCTGTTACAGTGTGCAGAATGCCTGGAATGTGGTCTGCCAACAGGAGAACTTACTGTGGAATGCCTCAGCATGCTTGTGGATGGATCATTTGTTTAGGATGCTTGTGAACATCTTATTACCTTGAAGTGACAAGCTTGGCATACTTTGTTCACTTGAACTTTCAGTTCACCGTTTCAGAAATAGTGATCTTCTTAAACTACTAACACTGGAAATAATTTTTACGCGGGAAATTAGTGTACAGCAAAGCATTTGAGTAGACCTCTTGTAACCTGTTTTTTCCATCTGTGCACTGCTGGGATTGAGTCTGAAAAAGACTAGCTAAATGCTTACACTAAACATAGCTAAAGATGATTTCCAGATCTGTGCAAAATTCCCATAATTCAAACCCACGTTTTTTACAACTTTTTTTTTTAATTCAAATCTTTAATTTTTCTTTCGTTCACAGCTCATCTTAGAATTTAACTGACTCTTAAATTAAGACCAATGAATTCTCGTCACCCATCTATCCCAGTCTTCTGTGGTTTTATTTTTAATGAGTTAGATACTGTGTTTGTATTTTTCTACACATCTTGTGTCTCACGTGTTCTGTTAAAAATCATTAAAGATCATTCTTGCTTTTGTAAGAATAAATAGATATTAAAAGTACAGTATGTCCATGGCACTTGGAGAGGTAGCATTTGACTTTCAGTTTCCAGCTGGTGTGCTAAACTCTGGGAGTAGTTGTTCAGTCTCTTCAGCTGCTGGCTTGCTTGGAGTGGCTGTCACTGAGGATCTTTCCACCTCTGGAACCTTTGAAAACATCATTTGTTCAGACTAGAAAGTATAGCCCTTCTTATATCCAAGCTATTCAGTACTCTAATTCTGGGCTGCTCTTTACCCAGAACATACCTACTGAGGCTTCAGCTCCTGCACTGAAGCTGAGCTCCAGGCTGACCTTCAAAAACTACTGTTATTCTAGTTTGGGTATTTTTATTCTATCTGATCACTCTTACTAGCCAGGCTACATTTGCTCCTGTGTTCAAAATCATCATCCTTACCAAAAACTGAGAGAATTTATCACTGTCATAGCTACAGGAATTTCACTGTCAGTTATTTTATATGATGGGCTCACATTTTGTTTCTTTAGCCTTAAATATGTAGCAAAAGACTTTGATGTTTATTTTCATCTCCTTTGACAGGGCTGAAGCAGTTTGCTTTTCATCAGACCTCATTTTAAGTGCTACATGTTGAAAGTTGGTGAAACCTTGTGATGTAAATTAGGTTTTTTTGGTTGCTGACAAATTACTTTTCCATAGCTACCTTATTTTAATTGGGGTTTTTTGTATTCTTTTGGACTTTTTCTTCTGTAATTTAATCATGGGAAAAGACAAAAGTGACAATATGAACCTGAGTAACAAGCAGAGTGATAGTAAAAGCACCAGGAAATACAGATTTTGAACAGATTTAATACAAGGTTTATTAGGAGGGTAGTTTGGCCCTGTTGACCTGAAGGGAACATAATTTTGTTCAATATTATTTGTAACTGATTATTTTAAATCTAGCAGTGTAACAGCAAACTGAGCTTTAAAGGTATTATTTTTAGAGACCATGAGTTATTTGTATAAATTTAATATTTCATATTAGAAGCTGCAACATGCAAGGCAACAGCATCCCTCGAGGTTCTCTTCTCTAGTTGCCTGCCCTGGCTTAAAGGAAGAAGCTCCAAGCAGCTGTGGGGAAGAAACGGAATTGCCATCTGCTGAGGTACAGTGCAGTTTTATCATCAGTGTAATCACCTTAAGTTGGATTTTTCAATTGAAATTGCTCAACATCTCCTGGAAGACTTAAAAATCAGTGTATTTTTTAAATTTTGAATTTTTCCTGTACAAAATAGCATTTGTTAACACTAAATAAACTAAAGTTTCTCAATCACTGTCATGATATTGTAATTAATCTTGTACAACCTTTCAAAAAACAGGTTCAGCTAGATTTCTCTATTGAAAATCACGGGCCAGAGCAACAAAAGGCAAATGCATCCTCAAAGATTGTTCAAAGTGAGCTGCTCAGGCAGAGTACTAGTCAAGTCCAGCAGGTCCAGCCTTCTTCATCTAGAGCACTTAATTTCTGCCAAGGTGTTTGGCAAACATTAGAAATTGGATCAAGCCTTTCTATTCTCAGTCCTCAAAAGAACAGCAACCAAGGTAAGCCCACTTTGTAAAGTAGTCACAGTATTTGACTCTTCTTGAAGAGTAGAAGTATGGTAGTGGAATTCTGTCCCCTTCCACTTCCATTTTACATTGCTGCTGTTGTTACAGTCCTATCATCAGAATCCGAATGAGTTACTTGAAGGGAATTCCACTTTGCCAGCAGAAGTAAGACTTAAGAGGAATGTCTATACAGCTCTTTGGTTTTAATGCCATTGTTCCAAATACTTCTCCATTTTTATTAAGTACTCCTGGAGAATGCAAATTCTGTTTTTACATAGTCTAAAACTTAGCTGGGGCAGATAGGAAAGTGTTTGAGAACTGCACACTTTATGTGTTGCCAGGTAATTAAATCCTTGCTTAATTGTTATTTTTGTAGCAGGTTAATTGCTACAATACTGCTTAATGTGCTAAGACCAAAAGCCAAAAGTGACATCACGGGCATAATATGGTATATGCTGTGGGCACACAGTGAACTAGGTATTGATATTCATTAGAGTTTTATAGTCCAGTGCAAAAAGTTGGAAGAGAAAAAAATAAAAGCAGACACACATTCTTATATTTGAGACAGCATTCAGACCTTACATGTGAGACAGTGTCAGGGTTAGGATGAGAGGTGAAGGTAAAACCTAGGTCATAGACTGAACATTAATCAGTGTTATACTTCTACAGAAAGCACCATGTTTTTGGAATATTTGGCAAGAGCACCATTTGTAAGATGTGTGCAATAAAGTGTAGCTTCTTAACAGACAAACATTTCACCAGAATGTTCCAAGGTGATCATCATTATTCCTGAGATCTGACAGCATCTGTGGAATAATATGACAGCCATTTAGCCTTTTCAAACGAGCTTTATATTGGCAATGACCTGTTACCATTACATAGATACTCATGTGCCAGTAACCACATATAAGACTGCAGGAACAAGAATGCAACCACTGAGTTAAGGGATTTGTTCGCTTCTATTTGCTACTTGTGAGGCCACATCTGGAGACAGCATCCAGCTTTGGATCCTCTGGTACAAAGGATTGACAAACTGGAGTCCAGTGCAGAGTCACTAAATTGCTGGGGCACAGGAACATAGTGCATGAGAAGAGGTTGAGAGAGCTGTGTTTTTCAGCATGGAAAAGAGTCAGTGAGTAATGTGATTGCTGCTTTTTTTACTACTCAGAGAGGGATTTTGGAGAAGACAGAAGAAGAGCCTTAGAGGTACACAGTGAAAAGAAAAGAGGCAATGGACACAAATTGTGTCAAGATATATTCTGAGTGGGGAGTGATAAGTACTGTGACATTTCACTCAGAAGTCCTTTCCAGCCTACGTTAAATCTACTTTTAAATCAGTAGATGCAATGAACCATCTTTAGCAGCTCACAAGAAAAAAATAATATTTTAAAGGGCTTTCAAAATGAGGAGTGGATTATAAGTGTATTTACTCACAACAGCAGTGCACTGCAGGGACAAAGTAATGTGCATTGATAGACCTGTAGGACTGGAATGGACATGGTGCTTTCACGTGCTTTTTTTGTGAGGCTAGGACTGAAATAGGAAGAGTTATTTCAGGTCAGGCCTATATTGACAGGATAAGCAAAAGGATGTCTTTGAAACATTACTGATAGTGCCATGCAGTTTCGTGCTGTTGTATGTGTGATGCAACAGCTCTGGCAACCTTACAAGGACATCAGTTTCTTAATGTCTAGAAATTTCCAGCCACTGTTGCAAAACTTAATGTAGATTTTTGGAGATCTAGAGAATAACAAAAGGGAAAGATGGTACTGCCAATGTGAAACATTAGTAAAGGCTGATATTTTCCTGAGAACAACTTTAATTTTATCTCTGCATCCAGATTTATATGAAGAACACCAGAGTGGAACTTCTAACTCAAACATGAAGGCCCTGAAATACTGCATTGCAAGAATAAGATTTTTAAATGCTCTTTTTTGCTGCCTAGCTTTCTCTTCCAGGAAACCAACCAAAAGGTGTCCTTAATTCTACTAGAGTGAATTCTGCATTTCAGAAAGATTGTGAAAGCAAAATTTTTCCTTTTTGGAAGAACATCCCCTTAGAAGCAAAGTATACTAAATTTTCAAGTTCTGATTTTTAGCAGAGGCTTGCATTATTTTTCATGCATGAGCTATGAAAAATTATTTCAGTCTTTCCTTTTTAATTCCACTTGAATTTAGTACATTCATCAAACACATGGTTAGATAAAACTGTCATTAAGATAAAGTGACTCGGAACTGGGCTTTCAGGTGCAAGTGACATGCACAGAGGCTTGGAAGCTCAGTAACAAGAATGATTTGCTACAGAGCAAGCAAGTTAGTTTGCTTATTCAAACTTTTTTATTCCGAGTTCACTCTGTCCAAATTGATTATACCAGTAGCTATGTTTTAGGGACATTTGTGGTGAAACAGAGAAAGATAGCATGAAAATTATTTTTCTGAACCTGTTAAACAGTTTGATTCATTTTTTTCATGTACAGAACAGCCTATTGGCACTCAAAACGGTTGGCATGTCAAGTAAGCCCTTTGATTTGCTCTGTTTCCAGCATATGACACAATGCAATGACTCAGTGCTCGATGTGTTTTGAAGTGTTAGACTACATCTTAATACTGAATTACTAAAGTAGACTGTTATAGACTTTATTCATTTCACCATCAAATTCAGAACTTGTGTAAACTTCCAAGCAAGTCAAAAAGGCTATATTTTAATTTTCTGTCTCTTTACTCTGCTTGCTAATTTTCAGTTTGTACTGGAGAAATGAGATGGATTTAATAGCTTGTATGTTAATTCTGTAGATAACTAGAGAGCAGGTGTTTAGAAGGAACATAGATTCCTGCTGAAGATATTTTCTTGCTCCATATTATTAAAAGAAAAAACCTGCTACAGAGGGAGACAGGTGCAAGCCATGATGATATTAAAAGGCTACATAAGATACATAGGCTGTACTAGTAAGAAATACACTTCTGTATTTCTTTCCTTTTTAAATGCTCTATACCAGAGGCTGAGAGCAAGTGAAAGATTTTGGTTGGTGATCCACATCATGTGTGCCTTGAATGCTGATGACAAGCCACCCTCAAAGGAAAGTTGCTTATCAGAATAGTTGTCTGCTTTCCTCTGAAAATCATGGCACACATGTAGAGCCAGGTGATCAGGTGATATATGTCTGCTGCAAGTTTTCTCCATTCACCAGTGGGCTATCGGGCCTTTTTAGATTTCAGAGTAACTGGTAGGCAGGAGGATGTTCTACATGTTTGTAAAACATTTAGAAAACTGAAATTTATTTTCTTTGAGTAATTTAGCTTAATAAAGTTATTACTGGCTGTTGGAGACACTAGTTTTTTGGGAAAAAAAAAGGCAAACATCACTATTAAAGTTCAACTCTAAGACTGCATTTAGCATAAAGCCAGTATTGTTAAGGTCCCTGTGTGGTACCATGTGAACAGATCAGTATCAGCTGTATCTCCTGGGGTCAGCAGAGGCTGGGGTCAGCGCAGAGGGAATAAGGGCATAAGGCAAGCTGTGTTCTCATTAGTCACTGGATTTATACATGTTTGGGGTCAATGAAACTTTTTGTTTTCATGTCCCACTCCACATTTTGAGAAACCGCACCTCCACAGGTACTCAGTCCGTGTCCGGGTTTACTAATTGGTGTTTACATTGTAGCCTAACAAAGAATAGGAATGAGTTGCTTTGAGCAAAGTAACTTTTCTGGTTTACTACTTGAGCTTAGGGGAGTTTCTGCTACTATAATTCTCATTGTTACTTGCAAAGCTCTGTGGTCTGAAATGGTACACTTTATGGATGAAAAGTTAACTTAAGTGTTTCCACACTAGACAGAATTTCAACAGCGTTGACATCACTGACAGTTCTAAGAGCAATCCATGGGGGTAAAAAGCTGGCCAGAGAAAGAATCTGGTGAAATATTAACAAACAGAAAGAGTGCTCTGGCTCTGGCTTCATTCCGGCTCCAATCAGAGAAAGACTCATGATCCCTTTTCTGCGTTACATAAAACTTCATCTTTGAAGTGTTTCACAAATATTAACTAATCTCCTAGTTACATTTTCTTCACTTACATGTTCTTCTCCTGAATAGGAACTTGTTTGAGTTCGTGTTCCTTCAGAAACACTGTTAGCCATAAGCAAATATCTAGTGACAAATTTGTTAAATGAAATTTTCCATCTGGGGAAATTTCAGTTTGCTCGTAGAACATGTCTACATATATCTCTTTCATCCTGAGAAAACAAAAATCTGTGAATATTAATCTGACTGAAGTTAACGCACATCAAATTGAAGAGATGTTACGCATTTCAATACACTAAACATTTAGTTCCATTTCCAAAAGCAGGTTAGGTGCTTAACTATGATCTTGCTAGCTCTGGTTGCCAAGGTCACTTCTGAAAGTAAGTTTCAGGCTTGTAAAGTAGATGTGTTTTTCCATTGGTGTGAAAACCAAGCTACTGCATTCAAATTTTACTGTACACTGCAAATTCATGCTGATCTTATTCAAGGTTCCTCAAAATATGAACAGTCCCAAGCAGAACCAGCAATACAGTAAGGTCTTTATTCAGTATTCTTGTAGGATATTTCACTTTAAATAGTATTTCTCACTCTTGGGTATTGATTCTTCATCTTTTTCCATTTTTGGAAATAACCGTACAAGTTTGCAATGGTTGGTTTTAAATTTCTGTGTTAGCGCACATTTTTGGCAGTTCAAAACTTTTTAAAATAGCCTTATAGAATGCTTGTGTCCTGTGTTGTTGTTCCAAACACCTAAATTAGCCTTTACTAGTTACATCCGTAGTTTCTCGATGAATGACAGGAGACAAGCATACAGAAGTCATCAGAAGAAGGGATGCATGTGATGCATTGGTGCATGGTTACTTTGCCTTTGGATTTACAGGATTAGGGCCTCCCACATTAACTTCTGAAAATCATCTCCTTTATTGAATACAAAAGACCCTTGAAAACTGAGTATTTAAAAAACCAGACTGTCTGTAGGCAGTGTTAAGTGTGTGCTATTTATGGATCTGCTCATTGCTGTTATTTAGACCACAAGCACAAACTAATATCATTCTGCTGCTGTCCCTGTTCAGGAAGATAATCCTTGAAGCAGTACCTTTCAGACACAGCTGCCTGTACTGTTCTAAACGGTTGATGTTGTGAAATTCTGCATTATTATCTGTCAGATGTGGTAGAGGTACTATAATGAATAAAGTCCATTTGCCGGGTAGGAAAATACACCCAAAGGTCTTCCATGGGTTCAAGCATGCTCTTCCATACCTTCTATATCTGTAGGAAGCCACTAGGTGGCAAGCTGGACAACAGGATTTCACATCCACAGTGCAAGAGTCCACTGAGCCTTTGCCACCTGTGATAACAAATGCCACTAAGCTGACTCAGTGCAGTGATGACACCCACGAGTGAACAGCTGGTTCAAGCTAAGCCTGAATATAAAAATTATTTTGAAAAATGTCATGTTTTGACACTAGCTACAGTGTCATGCTTTGCATAGAACTATAACCTTCAATAGATCAATTCATTCCAGAATTCAGGAACATTTTTTATTTCCTTCCATGCTTAATTTTGTTTGAACTTTCTACCATGTCCAATTGACTTTGAAAATCTATCTTTTTCTACTAATAACTTTTCTTTGTCAATTATTTGTGTGCCTTTTATTCTTGCTCTGTGATTGAATAGTCTCTGGGACTGCAGCCTGTGGTGCTCATAATTTAAATTAGTATAGAATGCTGTAGTGTGTGTTATCCCAAGTTTATTATGACTACTCCTGTCTCCTTTGGCTCTTCATAGAAAAAGTGAAGTCTTAGTGCCTTGAAAAATAAGGATTAAGTGGCTGGAGCCAAACACCTGTAAATATTACCTATAGCTTACAGTGAATATTTTGATTGACCAGTTACACTTAGCTTACCTAATGAAACCTGTGAAAAGACTAAAGTTCAGTTAGTTAGAGATAATGGTTTTCAGAGAATTATATGAGAAGCTGCAGGATGGACTCCAGGATGGACCGGTCCCACTGCTTCCCATCCAAACATATTATTTTTTTAGTTAGTTCTCTCTATTACAGACAAGATATTTTAGTCTACAAAATCACAGATTTCCCCAGTAAATGCCTTCCTCTGTGAGAGAAGATTGAAAAAAAGCCCCAAAAGGTAATGGTAGTACTGCAGCTTTGTCAAGCCAACAGAATTGCCTCTGAGCCTTTTGTATCATGCATTTCCAAACATATTCTCTCACAGTGGAGAGAAGGGTAAACTTGTAAAATGTGATGTTGAAAAACAGCTGAACAGATAGGTAGTGCTTAACTTCAACAGTCCCACCAGCCTCCCAGCTGTCTTCCTCTCTTAAGCAGTCTGATGCTAATGGAGGTGAGCAGCTACAGATGGAGCGAGGATTGAGCAGGAGATGCTAATGTGTTACACCATCAGTAGAGCAAACCTTAATGGGCAGTTCTGGGCCTCCTGTGTACAGAAATGATTCTGTTAATATAAGATTGTCACAATATGGCACTGTGGCAGCAGTGTATTTAGGGGAAAAGAGTAAATCAGTTCTCTTCGTCTATCCAGTCTCATAATTAAATACAAACACAACTACAAAGTATTTTTCTGTCCATTTTTTGAGCAGTGGAATTGGAAGTTATACGTTCAACCAAGCAATCTGAAGAATCTCAGCAAAATGTCAAAGCCAAGGATAAACTTGAAGTGCCAGCTGGAGATTTGGCAGTGAGAGGAAGAAGACTGGAAGTTCAGCAGAAGTTAAAATCCAGGAATTTATCTTGTATTCATCCATTAAAACCAAAAATCTCTTCTAACATGGCAAAAATCCGCAACTATAATATTAAAGACTGATTTTTATGTTGGCAGCAGGTTCCAGATCCACAGTTGCTATTAATTTACTTTGAAATCTCTAAATCAGATCTAAGTATTTGCTTCATTTTTGTATGTTGAGTTTTTCGCAGCCAAAAGAGAGAACGAATACCCTGTTTCACACAGCGAACCCTAAAATAAAGGGTTAATGTGTTTACATTATGAGATTACACTCTTCACTGTTAATACCGATTTATTTTAATTATATGTGTTAAATTTTGCTTGCATCATGGATTTAGAAATGCCCAGTTAACACATAGGTAAAGCCTTGTGCCTTCAGGCAGGGCTTCCAGGTCTTTAGCAGATTTTTTGTTGAGAAACTGTAGACGTGATTTAAGCTTAGCAGTGGGATGCCTCAACCTACTTGTTTTCTTATAATTAACAATGCAACCGTTAATCCTATGCAGCTACCTTTCTACTTGAAAGAAAAGGGGTTGAAAAGATTACACCCGAGTCTGTATTGTTTTCTCATCTTCTGTAGCTCCTCCCACTTGTTCAGACATAATGAAAGAGTATAAAATTAAATTTCTATTGTCACACCAGTAGTTATATTTTTCCTTGACGTGAGATTGCACAGACTTTAAAGCAGTGAAAAACACTGCTAATGAGTTAGATTCATACCCTCAGAATCATACCAGACGCATTGCTACCTATAAGTCTTAAAACATGAAACTAAAAGGAAACTTGAATTAGTTGGGATGTAAGAAAGGATTTCTCTGTAGTAATGAACACACCAAGACATTGAAACAAGTGATGAGTGTATTTTTGTAACATTTCCGGTAATGCTGAGCTATCTTGGGATATAACAGTGATGAACTTTACGTAAAGGAAATACACGTGAAGAATTCAATAAAAAACTTTTTTTATGGAGTCTCTGTCTATGGAGATAATCAAAACCCAACTACATGTGGTCCTGGACAGCCTGTTCCAGATGAGCCTGGATCTGAGGGCTTTGACTAGGTAATCTCAAGAGGTGCCTTCCAACGTAAGAGATTCTTTGAGTTTGTGAGTGGTATCACTGAAGTGAATAATACTTCTCAGTTGCTGCTAAACATATAAAATCTAAACAGGATAAATGAATGAAGAGAGCCTCTTACCCATGAGCGTCTTTTTTTTTCTGTAGCGCTTTTCTCTTTAGAAATGCTTTCCTGGTACCCTTGCAAACAGGTGCTCTCTTTGGCATCTGACAGTGGTAGAAATTAGTTTGAGAATATGAATAATTTTTTCTACTACCTGTTGAAAGTGTTTTGCTTTAGTGCAAAGGTGCGGTGATATTATAATCAGATGCTAAATCTGCAATAAATTTCATGAGATGTTACCAAGCCAATATAAGGCCTGAGAGACCTTGTGAGTGTCTAAGTCTTTTTGTTACTCAAAAATACTATCATTGGATTCAACATTGTTCATGAGCCAGAACAACATGATGCATTCCCTTGAACCAGGCCCTGAATAAG